AAGCACCTGCGATGGATAAATTAATCAGGAAAGCTGATGCTTCACGGCGAAAATTTCAGCCCTCATGATTCTTTTTAGTGTTCCCCTATTCATCACCAGAGGCAGAAACGATCGCTTAGTTTCTTTTGGGTTCACCTTGTTTACATCAATAAGTATTTTCCCCAACGCAAATAACAGCATTTTTCATTCAAAATCTTGCCAATTTCCATCGGTAATTGTCTTATTGTACGATTTTCCACAAATCTGAACTGATTTGCACCTTAACTATTCACACACAAGAAATCCGGAAGATCATAACCACAAAGGCACTTTTCTAATTTTCCATTTTTCTCAACAACAATATTCCTGAACACCAGCAGGATATTTTAAAAAACGGTACAAAATTAAATTTTTCAACTGTAGATTAAGTTTTGCAGCATCTCAGATGAATCAATTTATCAGGAAAAGTGAAAAAGTGTTCCGCTTCCTATGTCTCAAAGCAAACAATTATGCTCACAACACTCTTTTTGACGTTCTCCTATTCACCACCAGAGGTTGAATCGATCGTTAAGTTTCTATTGGCAAATCAAAGTTGGCACTCGTGGAGAATAGAAGAACTATAACCACAAACGAAGTGACAGACGGAGCGGCTCGAAAACTTTGGTGACTAACCTGCTATTTCAATTTTTCAGTGTACCACATGGCAACACCACTACTACTAGATTGTACCACATGGCAGCACTACTACTGGATTGTACTAGCATTTTCACAAAATGTATTAGAATGTTTTGGTTCTATCTCTTTCACTCTACTCAAAACTGAAATGCATAAAAAAAATGACTAAATGATACACTCTTTGCCACAAACGAAGTGACAGACGACTAACTGGCGAAGAAATCCATTAAAATAATGTGGTTCACTGTAATAGAATTTTCTTGGAAGCTTGTGCCATCATCCACCAGATGGGTTAGTTTTTTTGTTTTGATTTGAACAAATTTGATTTTGTGTACAATGATTCTTTGACAGTGTGCAAAGAGTGCGTATCATTTTGTCATTTTTTATGCATTTCAGTTTTGAGTAGAGTGAAAGAGATAGAACCAAAACATTCTAGTACATTTGGTGAAAATGCTAGTTCAATCTAGTAGTAGCATAGAGGTAACTCTAAGACCACTGGGTCCCGAAGAAAATCATTATTATTTTTGGCTCACTCAGTACCAGAACAACGGTCCCAAGCAGTCCCAAGCTATTTCACTCACCCCTGCATGTTCTGCATGAATCCACACACCCCTGATGTTATCTGTCAAACTTTCATAGCGAATCAAAACAAACATAGTGTAGTAATAGAATTTCAACTAGAATAGGGTACGTTAATCGTTTGCTTGGGACCAATAGGCTACTAAAGTGGTGAGCCAATTTAAAATCGTTAGTTTCGTATTGATTGTTGGTAGTAGCAACAATCAATACGAAACTAACGATTTTAAATTGGCTCACCACTTTAGTAGCCTATTGGTCCCAAGCAAACAATTAACGTACCCTATTCTAGTCGAAATGCTAGTACTACGCAATGTTTGTTTTGATTCGCTATGAAAGTTTGACAGATAAAATGAGGGGTTATTGGTTTTTCCTATGTTTCGAGGGGTGAATCGATTAGCTTGGGACCGAAGAGAGTACCAGAGCTGAGCCAAAAAGATGAGCACGTTATTTCGGGACCTTCTGGTCTTAGAGTTACCTCTATGGTAGTAGTGTTGCCATGTGGTACATTCCAGTAGTAGTGGTGTTGCCATGTGGTACACTGAAAAATTGCAATAGCAGGTTAGTCACCAAAGTTTTCGAGCCGCTCCGTCTGTCACTTCGTTTGTGCTCTTTGCACACTGTCAAATAATCATTGTACACAAAATCAAATTTGTTCAAAACAAAACAAAAAAATTAACCCATCTGGTGGATGATGGCACAAGCTTCCAAGAAAATTCTATTACAGTGAACCACATTATTTTAATGGATTTCTTCGCCAGTTAGTCGTCTGTTACTTCGTTTGTGCTATAACAGTGATGATGGTTTCAAAATTTTCCACGGGGAAGTATACAAATGCAATCTTAAAATGCTTTTATTTTGCAAATGGAACATTTTATTTAAATCTGGTTGCTGCTACAGTGGTAGAAAAGCTCAAATCTATGTGTACACCTAAAAATCTGAAAAGAAATTAATTTTTCTGTATTATTTGTCTATTGAGTAGTCCTTAAGTTTTCTACTAACATAGCATCAACCAGATTTAAATAAAATGCTCCATTTGCAAAATAAAAGCATTTTAAGATTGCACTCGTATACCTCCCCGTGTAAAATTTTGAAACCATCATCGCTCTCATAGTTCTTCTATTCTCCACGAGTGCCAACTTTGATTTGCCAATTAAAAATGCGTAATTTTAGTCGAAATTCTAGTATCACACTATGTTTGTTTTGATTCGCTATGAATGTTTGACAGATAAAATGAGGGGTTCGTGGATTTTTCTATGTTTCGAGGGGTGCATCCAGCCCAGTGACAGGCGCGTAGGCAACATGTTACACCATGACAGTGGGCCAAGCACAGCAAAATATACGATTTGAGCCCGGGACATGCTGCCTACTGTCAAACGCTGCTGTATAGGCCTTGTCACTGGCCTGGGTTCATCGATTAGCTTGGGACCGAAGAGAGTATCAGAGCTGAGCCAAAAAGTTGAGCTCGTTTCTTCGGGACCTTCTGGTCTTAGAGTTACCTCTATGGTAAGCACGAGATCACACCGCCATGAAATCTGTTGACGCTTTGTATAGCTGAATGCCTGTTCTGTACAATAATCGTTGAGCGGAACGTTGCAGGAAAACGTGCACCAACGAATGACAGCTGACCCAGTGCTTAAATTATGCTAAGAGAAGAGTAGACAATACGGGGGCGAAAACGAACCACTTTTCTGTCAAACGCGAACCAGCTCGTGATTGGCCGATTTGAAGTGCGTAAGATAGAGATATAGATAGAGATTAAAGAGTAAGAAGCCAGTTGTTTTTAGGGATATCGGATAAAGAAAATGTGTCTTCACTCCGTTGTCTATATAAACATAAATATTAACCTTTCAGTACTCGCACTGATGTACAAAGCTAAACACGAAAAAAAAAAGAAAGTAAAATCTACTGACGTTGGAACTCGCTAAACGTGAAACTAAACATGGTTCATGCAATTTAATACCCACGTCCAATAGACCAATACTTGATTCATATTACTTAAAGTAATTTAAGAAGATTCAGTTTTTTGCATATTAACCCACGCTTTTTTCATTTCTTCTACATTCTTCACCACTTTAGGCCGTTTTAGAAGGTGTTCCTTCATAATGGCCCAGTATTTTTCTATTGGGTGCAATTCCGGAGTGTTTGGGGGGTTCAGATCTTTCTGCACGAAATCGACATCATTCGCCTTATACCACTCTAGCACGTCCTTCGTGTAGTGGCATGATGCCAAATCCGGCCAGAAGATCGTCGGACCGTCGTGAGCCTTCAGGAGAGGGAGAAGCCGCTTTTGGAGACACTCTTCCAAATACACCTGTGCATTCATGGTGCTTGCGGTAACGAAAGGTGTACTCCGCTTTCCGCAAGTAGAAATCGCGTGAAAAAATTAAGAACTTCTTGATGAATTTCGACATCTTCTGTGTCCGGAGGTTCTCGGGAACATCACACTTATCCTTGGCAGTCACATACAGGTTTCCTGGAATCTGATTGAAGTCCGCCTTCACATATGTCTCGTCATCCATTACGTAGCAGTGTGGTTTCGTTAACTGCATGTCGTACAACTTCCGGACACGGCTTTTTGCGACCGTATTATGTTTCTCGTCACGGTTTGGGGACTTCTGAACCTTAAACGTACGTGGTTCAGCTCGAATTTTGGTATTCTGCACGAAAGTCTTGCTCACATGCAACTTTCTAGCCACATCTCGAACTGAGGCGTTTGGTTTCCGTTTAAAGGCCCCAGCCACACGTTTGTGATCGTTCTCGTTGACCTGACGGTTTTTTTTTCGGATCATTGCTTCCGATCAACAGATGCCGAGATTTAGCAAAAATTATGTTTGTTAAATGAGATCTCGGCAAAATTTACGTTTGTTAGCTGAATCTCGGCAAGTCCCTCACTGCGATCCAGTAAAACAAAATGCCGAGCTGCTCGGCGGCGCCCATCGTGGCAAAAAAATCCAATTGTATGCTCAATAAGCATAATATTATTCCTATAAAGTGCTATAAAGTTATGAACTTTTGTAAAAAAAGCTATTTTTTGGACCACCTAACATTAAAATGGTCACCCTAATGGCAAAAAAAACGGGTCCAATATATTGCGATAAGGAACAAAACTACCCATTTTTACGAAAATCTAAGAACCACAATATCGTTTTGCTATGGAATGACTGCTTTATAAAATAAGTTTCATCAAATTCTTCGGTCCAAGCCTGTCCGATAATGAAAAAAAAATACCCGTGTCAGATTTTTCACTGAAATAAAATTATGAAATACAGTGTAATCCATCAATTTTAAGTTAATAGATGCATGCAGTTAATCAGGTGCAAACAGCGCACGGAGTTGAATTGAAACATTAATAATATCTTTCAAAATCACACAAGCATTCGGAATAGCCATACAAAAGTAAACACAAAGAATCGTTAAGTCAACAGAAAACGGGTTCAAGGATATTTCGCTAGCTTTATTGTTTGTTATGATAGCTGTACTTTGTTTGAATTCACGACATGCGTAACCGTTGCGTGAGTAGAGAAATATATGGCGACCTAAATACAAAGCTGTTCCCGTCCGTCAAACAGACCCACTTGACGCTATGTATTCAATTATCTTGTCGCAATTTATGCCAAGCGAATTGTGATACAAATCAGTAAATGGTAAGAATGATAATCTACCAACTAGGTTGATTGTTGCGCAGTAAACAATTCGTTCCTACTACCCTTGAAGCATGAAGGAGCCTCACTAATCACAAACTTCTACATCTCTTCCCCATCCCGCAGAAATTCACGTGCTGCAGGCAATCAACAACGTCCTGAAGGAGCGCCATGACATCGAGTCCAACTATAAAAACCTGGCACTAAAATTTCGGGACATGCAAGACGAGGAGGCCCTCCGGAGGGCGAAGGTTTGCAGTGTTTGTGAAAGCTTTGACCTAAGAATTAGACTCTTCAATAACTGGCCCATTTTAGTTCGATGAAGTACGGAAGACACAGCTGGAGGAGCTGCAGGCCAAAGGTGAAGCCCTCTGTCGCGAGAAGGCGAAACTACAGCACCAGATTGAGCACGTCACGTGGCACCTGGAGGGATGCCGGCGGAGGCGACCCTGCTTGGCACGGTTACCGGAGAACTGTCCGCTCAAGGGGGACGCACCGAGTTGTTTACCACATTCGCCGGAAAAACTGAAGATTATGGCGAGTCGCATGGTGAAACAATGGTAGATTTTCAAATTATGACACGTTGAATATGTTTTTAGGCAAACATGAAAAGCACCGCAGATCACCTCGTGAGAGGAATCATGGATTTGAGGAAAAAGATTCACGTTGTTCAGGACAAGCTGGAACACGAAGTGGCGGTTAGTTCCATGATGGAAAATGTACTAAACTTCCGGAAATAAAAGTCCCCCATTTCCGTCTTTTCAGCGCAAAAAAGATATGGAGAAAAAGTTGTCCGAACTGCGAAAGCAGATCTGTCAGCACAACAAATGTATGCAACAGGCAGGCCAGCGGGAGCATGCCCACCATCACGCTCACCACCACCACCATCACGGTGGCGGTGGCGGAGGAGGCCATGGAACCACTTCGTTGCCACCAATCAAAAACTGCTTGGCAGCCAAATAGCAGCGGGCCGCGTCGGAACACGTGAAGGGACACCACCGGAAGCAGAAGCAGCAGTGTTCCCACGGAAAGCTCGTCAAACTACCGCGGCCATGCTCGGGGGGATTGGCATAGAAAGGTTTTAGCGAATATCTCGGATGAATGTGCTTGGTTAATCGTTTTGAGGTTATGTTTGAGAGCGAATATAGTTTCCGTTACCCCAGGTTATTAGTTGTTGTAAAGTGCATCAAATGCGAATAGTTTAAGCGGTTACAGGATGGAGTTTGTTTATTTTGCTGCTTCCATATTCTATTATTGTATTCTATTAGCAAAACAGATCGCTAGTATTGTAAGTTATCTTTGTTGGTAAGTGATTATCTAGCTTTTAGCAAAACGCAGGACCTACAGTAAACTACCGTTACCGAACTTAGAATACTTTTTTTTTTCGATAAGTATGTAACTAACCGTATCATCTGATGTAATTAAATCGTATTCATTTGAAATAAATAGATATTTCCTGATTCATCCCACGAATAGCATTTGGAAGACACTTTCGAAAGAACTTCCGCTAATGGTACAATCTAAATAAGTTTGTAGAAATAGGTCTCAGCAAATTCACACTGGCGTAGCTGGTGGGGACGCTCAGGATGATAGCCCGCTTCCTAAAATGTGTAGGCTTCGCCAACCTAGAAAGCGCCGGAAAAGGATTCGCGTTTTCAGATTTTGTTTTACGACTTAAGATACGATTTTTTTTTAATGTTTAGATATCCACTCTACATTTCGATTCGTCAGACCATGGAATTAGTATATTTAGAAAGCTAACCAACAGCTAACCTAAGTTCACCGAATATTGGCAAAAGATAAGGTAATAGCTCATTGCGCGGAAAGATTTACCTTTTTTGATAGTTCAGGGAACTTGTTTTTGCGTTTTTGGAATTGTGATTGAAATGATTTTGAAACTCTCGAAAAAGTGCACTAGACTGTAACACTTCAAGCCTGAAAATTTTTAAAGAACACAAAATCATAGCGATGACACCGACAACACTTCAAATCCAAGTATACAAGCTCCCTTGTATACGATGGCTTCTTGAAATTTCAAGTAGACAAGTGAAGATTTTTTATAACGAAATGAAGATATGGACTCCAAAGTTTAAGGTAAAAGTTAATGCTTTTCCGTTGAATCCACACCCGTTCGAACCACACCCAAATTAGAAATGCACCAATACCAACAAGCATTGCAAATTAGGAAAATGAGAAGTGTCGAAATTTTAACCTTTATTCGTAAACACAATATTATAGTATAATTATAATAATTCTACTACTGAAATGACAAATTCAATTCAAAGATTCCAAATTCAGGGAAGTCCTGCTAATGCTCAGGGAAGGCCTGCCGAAAGTTCTTCCGAAGTTCAGGGAAGTTCTGCTGAAGTTCAGGAAAGTTCTGCTCAAATTAAGAGAAGTTCTGCTGGAATTCAGGGAAGTTTTGCCGAACTTCAGGGAAGTCCTGCCGAAGTGATTTATTAGATTTTTGACTGGTACCGGTACGTATGGAGATTTCTTTTATATGGCTTTCTCAGTCTAGGGTAATCCAAACAGGAAAATGCAAAACTGACTGTTTGGATTAACCTAGATTGAGAAAGCCATATAAAAGAAATCTCTCCATCATGTGTTCGATTTTGACGTTCTGTTTCTATGGAATTTTAGGTAGGGGAATTTACGTATTCTCGGCAACCTAAGCAGCGACCTTCTTTCTATAGCCTTTTTCTCTATTGAACGCACACATATGCAGTATTGGTTTGTTTACAATCTTTTGCTGCCAGCTGCTCTAACAATTTCAGTCGAAAGAATTGTCAAAAACTGTTTTGAAACGCTTTTACAAAGCTCCAATCTTCTCTAGTGAGACCGAGTATTGTCGGCAACCAGTTTTTCTTCGGCAACCAGTCCATTTGAACTGCATGTAAATCTGCTGTTCTATTATCGGCAACTCGAAATCAGCTACAATTTGTAGTGCGTGTGTTGCATTTCAAGAAAACCTTGCTAGATTGCTTTTTCTCAGTGGTAAAAATATAGTCAAATTGAAGCTGAAAGCATAAAGAATCGTTTGCATGCATTCAGCAAAGTGTTTTCGTAAGAAAATCCAGTGAAAATAGTGTTTCAATTTGGGTTGCCGAAAATTGTCTGGCATGCCGGAGCCGTCATTTCCCCTATTTCAAGCATAAATATTCACGTCGATTGAAGAGATTGCTTATAAAAGCAGATACGCCGATTTGAATGATTACGCTTGATTTGTTTAGGCTGCTGGCCATACTGAGAGTGAAGAGGCACGCGAAGCGTGAAATCGAGTGTAAGGATTAATATCAATAATAGGAATTCTTTTGTATAGAACGCTAAGCGCGCCTCTTTGCTCCCACTGTGGCAGCCGCCTTAGAGTCCTATTTGTTTATTTGTTTATTTGTTTATTTGTTTATTTGTTTATTTGTTTATTTAATAATTCAACTGACAATTAATGTCTTAATGAATAAAACTTAATCTAAATAGTTATGGTCAACGAAATGAAAACGGTCAAGTAACCGGTGACGAAACACATTTGCAATAAAAGTAGTTAAATTGTCGGCTGATTGCACGAATTGGCTCATTCTGCGTATAATTTCTGCCTCGTGGCTCCAAAAACAGAAATTCGCGTTGACGAAGAGGTCTCTCAGGAGCATACATATTTAGCTGGGCCAGCAACGTTGGACAGTCGATGTCACCCGTGAGAAGCTTTCCAGCAAACATAGCTTGAGCGACCTTCCGTCGCACCACTAGCGGTTCGATGCCCAGAAGACGGCAACGCTCCTCGTACGGTGGCAGGTTCGATGAGTCACGCCAGTTCAAGAAACGAAGAGCATATCTCACAAACTTTCGTTGAACAGATTCGATTCTAGCGATCCAAGTGGCTTGGAAAGGGCATCATACAACTGCACTTGATTCTAATATAGACCGCACAAGTGAGCAGTAAAGTGATCTGAGGCATAACGGGTCTCGGAACTCACCGAGATCCTTTATTTGTTCTACACGGGCAATACAACATCCAAAGAGCACATAGCCAAACATAATTGGTTCGTTTTTACGGTGATAGGAGATGACGTTGCATTTTTCGATGCTCAGGCCCATCAAATTTCTCGTGCACCAGTCAGCGAAAATGCATAGCATATGCTGGAGATCCCAACAGTCCGAGAGGCTTTTGATAATTTTGTAGATTTTGGCGTCATCTGCGTAGAAAAGACGACATCCAGATGGTAACAACAGAGCGATGTCGTTTAAAAAAATCGAAAACAGCAGAGGTCCCAGGTTGCTGCCTTGCGGGACTCCCGAGTTGTTTGAGAAAACATTTGAATCCGTCGCGCCAATCTTGACTCGTACAGAGCGATTCACTAAGTACGATCTGAACCATTTCACAGCCGTAGACGAAACACCTAGTCCAACTTAGCAAGCAGGATTTCATGATCCACCCTGTCAAAAGCGGCTTTTAAGTCCATGTATGCAGCATCAACTTGCCATCCAGCATCCAAGCTTCGCAGACAGTCAGAGGTAAACTGCACCAGGTTCGTGGAAACCGATCGCTTGGGGTAAAAACCATGTTGGTCCGTATCGATATAATTTTTACAGCACATAAACAGAGCATCATTTACAATAATCTCGAAAAGTTTAGAGCAGGCGCACATGGAGGAAATCCCACGATAATTAGCGACATTCCGTTTGTCTCCTTTTTTGTGAATTGGAAACAGATAGGAAAGCTTCCAGCGGGAGGGGGATTCACTTTGCTGTGCCGAGAAATTAAAAAGTCGCGCAAGTGGAAGGCACAGGTTGACTGCACATCGTTTTAAAACTGACGAGGGAATTCCGTCAGGACCAGCGGCGAATGAGTTCTTCATTTTGCGTGTTGCGGCTATCACCATGTCTTCAGTGATGTGAGGTATGTCAAAACTAAAAACATCACGTGGCATCCCGGAGGTTGCGACCAACACCTGTGTCGGTGAAGCGGAAAAATCGTGGAAGACTTGTTTGAATTGACGAGCAAACAAGCTGCATTTTTCACTTTCGCTGCAGGCCGTATCATCTCCGAGGAACATGGAACAAGGCAGCCCGGATTCTTTCCGTTTTGAATTTACAAACGACCAAAAACCTTTCGGGTTCGACCGAAGGTTCGCTTCCGTGCGTCTCACGTGCCGATTATAGAGGAAGTGCTTGTAGTTTCGATAGCGACGACTTGCGAAATTAAACTGTTGCTTGTAGAACGGTAAGCGAGAGCTGCAGTACCTTCGGAGTGCGGCGGAGCGCTGACGTTTTAGTTTACGTAGGCGTGGGTTGGACCATGGAGGCTTCTGCGGGGGACGTCTTGCTGGGACAGTGCGGAAAATAACTTCTTCCAGCGCAGAGCTGAAACAATCCACAGCATCATTGACACTAGCGGCCGTTTCGATACAGTGCCAATCTATTTCCGCAAGCGCATTGTTCAATGCAGTGTAATCGGCCCGGCGAAAGTCCAGAAAGCAGCACTCGGAAAACGGTATATATTCAATTGGAGTGGATAAACTTAGTGACACGACGAGAGCGGGATGTTCGGCATCTAGATCAATCAGTGGCTCGACCGGTAGAGAAACAGAAGTGTCTGGTAATGCTGAGTCATTTTCCAGAACAAGATCTAATCAGTCCGCATCGTGCTCTCTTGCCGTGCGGATCTATTTGCTTTTTGCTGAAGGAAGTGTTACTACTACCTAAAGCTACAACAAATTTAAACAGCACTTTTCAGTGCTCAACCTGTAAAAATTTTCTACCTTGTTCAACTCTTATTCCTCTTCGATCCTTGTTTGGACCCTACCCGAGGTAATCCTTCTTGGATATCGATTTGGAAAATTCCTCTTCGATCCTTCAGATTCTTATAGTAATCTGCTTGGAAGTCGATTTGGATAAAAATTTACTGCCGCCATGGCGCCTAAACGCAAAAGAAAGGGGCAAACTCTTGACCCCCCTTCTGATGAAATTAATTTGAGTAATCAATTTGATTTGCTCACGGATGATGAGAATGATCCATCATCCAAGAAAAATTCTAGTAAACTTTCCCGGCTTAATGCCAAGAAGGAAAAGATTCCCCCTATTGTGATAACCACTACCGATTTCCATGCTCTTCGCATGGAACTTTTGAATTTCGTGAAAGTTAAGTTTTCACTACAAATTGGACGTCGGGGTGAATGCCGTGTATTGGCTGAAACCTTGGACGGATTTAAATGTCTTCTCAAGTATCTTACTGAGAAGAAGCACAAATTTTTTACTTACGACACCAAAACTGAACGT